CACCCCCACCCCCCACCCCAGAAGGCCAGGCCCGGGACAGCCAGGCCCGCCGGCCACCCAGGTGACCAGCCGACGGACTAACGGAAGCGGGCGAGGAGCGCATGAAGCCGGGCCCGCGCCGGTACTCACCGCGGGGTCGGGCGGGTGCCGGGGGCTGCAGCCGGACGGAAGGCGGAGGCGGAGCGGCCGGCAGGGGCCGTGACACAGCCGGTGACGGCGGCGCAAGCCCAGGGATCCTCAGCGCGGAGCCCGAGGACTCTGTGTGAGGCGGCGGCGGCCTCTGGCTGCGGACGTGGCGCCTGACGCGACCCGCCCCCTCTGCTGCCTCCTCCGCTCCCGCCTCCTCCCGCGCCGCGAGCTCCGACGCGCACGCGCGCTCATGCCCCCACCCCCTCCCGCGCCCACCGGTCGCTCGGCGCGCGCAGCCCTCCCAACAGCCCCCGGCCCCCGCGCGCGCCGTAGCCCCGCGGTCTCCCCGCCTCCTCGGTCTCAGCGTCCAATCAGAGCGGGTCGGGGGCGCAGCCCGGAGACGTGCAGCGCCTGGCTCGGCAACGGTCGTTGGAACGTGGAACATGGTCCGGGCGGGAGGCGGCGGGTCCGGGGCTCTCCTGGTCCTCCTCCGCCTGGGGTGTCATTCTTCAGCTGCCGCCCGTGGAGAGGGCGGGGTGCGACCTGGCTCCTGTGCTGCGGGATTGGATTCTTTTCCCCCGCCTGGCGCGAGTTCCGTGAGCGTGGAAGCTGGGGTTCGTCCTCACGTCACTCATGGGCTAGCAAGGAGTTGAGATTTGTTGGAGAAAGAAATGTGGGAAAAGAACTGGAAATGTGAAACCCGCCCTTGCGCCATGTCCTACACAGGCTTCAGGTTGCCCTCCGCACCCCTCGCCTTGGGAAAGCCTCCATCAGGAAGGTGTGGAGAAGCCTGGGAAGGATGTCGTCAGTGCACTCGTGCTGGTCTAGCCTGTGACATCCAGTCTGTGCTGGTCCAACCTCTGTTGGTCCAGCCTGTGACATCCAACTTATTCTAGTCCAGCCTCTGTTGGTCCAGCCTGTGACATCCAACCTGTTCTAGTCCAGCACGCTGGTCCAGCCTGTCTGATTGTGATGTGAAGCGCTCAGCTTCTGAGAAGGTGGGCCTAGCTCCTGGTGAGCGTTTGGATGCGCCAAGGACATAGATCATGCAAAGGCTGCTAGATAATAAGTGCCATTAGCTTTTCTTTGACTATTCTAACACCTTTCAAATGAAGATGACAATAAGTCCACCGTAAATTTCTGAGCGGGTGTGAAAGGGCTTTGTAAACTGAAATCTTACATAAATGCGGGCTTTTTTCTTTTCATAATCTAGCAAGTGAAAACACAAGACCCTCAAAAGGTTTTGAAATGAACAGTGTGGTGCAGTTAAGTGTTGACAAAGATGAAAGGGGTATGTTAAGCAAAGAAACCATCCCCGAGGTGCTGACTTTGCTCCAGTTCTTAAATAGAACGAGCTGAATAGGATATGGAATTTGGTGGGGATACTAGCCACTTCATATATGGGATAGGGAGAATCTGAATTGTAGTGTTTACTGAGCACATGTCCTTTATTAGCACAGAGCCTGAGTTCTTAGTATGGCTTTAATAGGTGACTTTCAAGGTTGGGCTCTAGGCAAAATTATGAAGTGCAAAATTATACTGTGTATCTTTTATTTTTGCTGAGAATTAAAGTAAAAATTGAAAGGATTTTGCAGTTTTAGAGTTATTAAGGCCATCATTCAAAGTAGTGGTTTCCTCTGTTTTATACACCAACCAAGATACAGTAAAGCTCTGTGGGGCTTGAGTCCACCAGGGCTTTCTGAAACTGCAAATACAGGTAGTCATATATTTCTTGTGAGTCTAACCCTAGCCATTTGTTGACTGCCTGGGTTTTCTTACATATACAAATTAATAGCACCCCATTCTGTGCTCACCCACTCCTGACTACTATGAGACTTAAGTATGAAGATCTTGATGGAATAGTTTCTGTAGAAGGATGCTATCTTAACTGGGATATTTTGATGCAACCAGGAGCCTGAACAAGTGAAGGCCTATTCATTTTCTAGGCTGAGTGCCAGATTCTTGATTCTTAGAGTATCTCTTCAGATTATTAAAATGAAACTTTTTTCTGTATGATATTTTGAAAATAAATTTGTAATGGCTTCAAATAGCAAATCTTTAATGCAATAATTTCAGACAATAACTTTTAACTGAGTTAAGTTACCATTAGCTGAGGATGTGGCTCAGTCATAAAGCATTTGCCCAGTATGCCCAAGGCTTCATGTAATACTGTCACCCCCAAAAAATAGAAGGCGGAGTTATGTGTTACTATACCAAGTATCAATTTTCTAGTCTCTTAAGTGACTTAAATTTTCTTCTATTTAGTTATGATCAGAGAGCCATTTGCCTTATTGAGACACTAGAGAAATTAGAAGTGACCTTGTTTAACAGTGTGAGGTAGTTCAGAAAGTTAAGACAAAAAAGTAGCAAGACTGAAATGTGAAAGTCATAAATTATTTTTATGCTGATAGCACAGTGGAGTTGGAAAGGCAGTCCAAGCATCTACCCAATATGCACAACTCATTTTCTGTCATATGCACATAGTGGTTTCCTTTGGTGAGTTGTCATCACTCTTCCCAAGTGGAGTTACATGCGACAAATTACTCAATTACACATACTTTCTTACTGTTCATTGTGTAATGCATTCTTCTGGCATTTTGAAATGAGCTAATGACCAACAACTTTATATAGGTTACTGTCCCATATAAATAATAATGCTTTCCCGTTCTCACATTCTTACTTGGTCTTCTGATAATTACCTGAACTGTTCTTTTTTTGTACCCTTTCTTGACTTGAGGATTGCTAAATCCTCAATTTACAATGTATTTGACACAAGCTCTTCATCTGTGTCACATCGCGGTCATCACCAGCGGCGGCTGCTCCTCCATTCTCATGGGTGCCACTCCTTTGTTCTCACAGGCATCAAGGCTGCTCCTCCACTTGCCCTGGGCTGAGGCCGCTCTTCTGTTCCCCCAGTGCTGCCTTCTGTCCTCGCTGCTTCTGCCTGGTTCCAGACCCCAGGGCTGGTGGCCCCCAGTGCTGAGGCAGCTCCTTTGCTCACCCTGTTCTGCCTTCTGTCCTCGCTGCTTCTGCCTGGTTCCAGACCCCAGGGCTGGTGGGGAGACTGTGTCAGCAGAGTCACATTCAGACACAGGAAACCAGGTTCAGTGACACAGGTCTGCTTTATTGTAGGAAGGCACAAGCTTATATAGGGGTAGTGGTCCAATCACAGCACAGCAAGTAGGATACCTTATTAGCATAACAGGTTTAGTGCCCTATCACAGCACAGCAAGTAGGATACCTTATTAGCATAACAGACTTAGCATCCTATTAGCATAACAGACAATGTCCTATCACAGAATAGAGGGTAGGATGTCTCATTAGAATACTGGGTTTCAGATTACAGAGCCTGGATTCCTGGAAACCACGTGACCCTAACAGTTGCAATACCACCCTATGCTCAAGCCCATCTCCCACAACATTTCTCTCAATAATGAGACAAAAGCACTGTTTCCTATATTCTTATAAGGAAACTAAGGCAGACACATTGGATAATTTAATCCAGGTCTCACAGTGTTAAAGACCAAGTTCTACAATCAAATCCAATTTTGTGTTATATTCTTGTTTGGGGGTTGTTTTTGGTTGGTTGGTTGGTTGGTTGGTTGGTTGATTGGTTGGTTTGCTTACTTGTTTGAGACAAGGTCTGATCTTGACTCACTACATAGCCCAAGCTGATGTCAAACTTTTGATCCTTCTGAGTGCTGAGATTACAGATATAAGCCACCACAGCCAAGTATCCCCACTATATTCTGAGAGAGAAAATCAGTTCCTGATAACCAGTAAACAGCCCAGTGCTATCAGGGAGGTCATAATGTTGGTGGGAGCTGGCCTGGCATAACTAGGCCTTTGTATTCTCCAGTTAAACAAAAATAATTTTTGAGAACAGCATGAGACAAAGCCACTCCACAATCAATGATGGGACACAAAACTACTTTGTAATTATGCTTGAACCTGGATAAAATCATGAATAGTGTCCAAATAGAATGTACAAAATGAAAATGATGAACTGTTTATTGCTTCTCTACCCATTCCAGTTTTAGTCCTTCTAGCCCTTTTTTTAAAAAAGATTTATTTATTTTTATGTGTACAAGTGTTTGCCTGCATATATGTATGTGCACCACATGTATGCTTGGTGCCTATGGAAGCCACAGGAGGGCATTGGATCCCCTGGAACTAGAGTTACAGGCCATTGTAAGCTACCATGAAGGTGCTGGGAGCCAAATTCAGGTTCTCTGCAAGAGTAGCAAGTGCCCTTAACCACTGAGCCTGTCTCCAACCCCTAGCCTTTTCTCTTTCTAGATAAATGTTATAAAATAATCAATCATAGAATTTCCACTCCTTCCTGACAGTGTCTATTGTATATCACAGAGCAAAATTCCACTTTCTTAAACCTTTATCAAAACACCTTACACAATCCTAAATCTTAATAGTCCTGCCTGATATTCTGTTACTGAGATGACCTGTGTTTACTGGTATGTTACAGGCCATTGTAAGCTACCATGAAGGTGCTGGGAGCCAAATTCAGGTTCTCTGCAAGAGTAGCAAGTGCCCTTAACCACTGAGCCTGTCTCCAACCCCTAGCCTTTTCTCTTTCTAGATAAATGTTATAAAATAATCAATCATAGAATTTCCACTCCTTCCTGACAGTGTCTATTGTATATCACAGAGCAAAATTCCACTTTCTTAAACCTTTATCAAAACACCTTACACAATCCTAAATCTTAATAGTCCTGCCTGATATTCTGTTACTGAGATGACCTGTGTATACTGGTATGTATTCTTCATTGCTGTAATGAGTGATAGTTCAATATGTTCAGCTTGCAAGAATTCCTGGTGATCTTTGGCTAAGATACATTGACAGTTCTTTCTGTGTTATCTGTGCCATCTATTTGTATGGCTTGGAAAACATGCTGTTAGGTAGAATGTAGACATGATGGGCAGAGCTGGGTAAAGGGGTCCTAGAAGATAGCTAAGCCCTGTGTTTGTACAGCCTGGCAAGCTCTTGTAAACCTTCAGCCTCAGCTTTCATGACAAAGTTTCAGTTTAAAAAATAAGAATGTTTTAACCTTGGGATGACAAAAATGTCTTCACTGACAGCCAGCCATGAGATCAGTCATTAACTTTGAGCAGTCTCAAAAAGGAGTTAGAAGGTTAACCAAGAAAATACAGCTGCATCTTGGTAGCTGTGCCTC